ACCTAGGATATAATCACGTGTCGTTTCCACCGAATGCCGGCAGTGCTTTAGAGAAAGTGGTGGTCAGTGGACTATTTATTTGATATAGCACAATAATAAATTTCTACCTACTGGATGACGTGCCAAGTAGAATATATTACTCAGTCATGTAGAAGGCTTTTGTCTCCATGACTTCGGAAGTCCATTCGCCTTCACTGAAAAATGTTTCTTTCTCTCGGAAGTAATTTGTATTACACTTTGAATGTAATACTGAATAAGAAAGGAACTTATTTTAGAACTGTAAATCATCTAAGTAATCTATGACCAACTGTAGCGTCTTCTTTTAATGGTGCATTTAGGCTTTCAAATCGCTTTGTTCAACTGCGTTATGTTAACTGGAAAGTTCATTGCTTACAGTCCTAACAAATTTGCATGGTTGGTTGAAGAACAGTGCATCCTAGGATGACATAAAAAACTTCGTAATAACTTTGAATTTATTGTCACATGTAACCCATAGTAATGGCAACTTAGTATCAAAATGTTCAGCAACTATTCTTAGTGAACCCTGAAATATCTGTACTCAAAACAGATCATCTTATCGTCCCAAGTATTTCTTGAGCTGATGGTGAGTTTTTTCGAAGTTCTAAATAGAATCCCTACTAAAGAAAAGTGAAGTATCACAAAAAAGGTTGCGTATCTAGCGTTAGGCTCCTCTTAGCCATTCTTATACCTGTATAACTATTACTAACAACTTCATCTTATGAAACAATATCCGGAAAATCACTGGACAACTATTAAAAAAAATGTATTTTAGAGCTATCAGTTTTAACTTTGCATGGGAATGAACAATAAGCTTCACCATAATAACAGAGAATTTTATACAACGAACGTGAGTTGTGTTTCCGTGACATACAATAGAATTACTTATTTAACAACTTTTCGTCAATGTAATCACACTGTGTCATTCATCCTTCATGTTTATTTATCAGCATCCAAACTTTGTTTCGGTAATAAATCTGAAGGTGAAAATCCCTTTTCATTGAATTCCTACTTGTGTGTATCAATGCATCCTCCACTAAACGTTAATTCAAGAAGTTAAAGAAGTTGGGAGGCCAGTAGACGTCTGTCTGAGGTTGCCGTATATGTATTCACTCACTACAATTTTTCAGATGTAAAAGGTGGACGGAAAAACGAAACTGTATTAGCTATTCGTGAAGAAGGAGGTAAAGAACAAAAGAAAAAATATCTTGGTGAACACCAAATACAGACGTCAAATGACCGATAATAATGATAACATGTTGTAACTTTGCTCTTGCAACCAGTACTTTTATACATAACCTAATAAAAACTCAAATGTCTCCTCATGAGTTAAGTTGATAGTTACCATAGCACGGAAACTGTTTGCTGTAAAAACAGTGATAAAGAAGTCCAATAACATCCAAATGACATGCTGAAAGCACAGCTAAATTTCGACAGTTTCAACCATAATGTACTATGTATGAAAATTCGCCAAAGCTGGTGCAAGACACGATGAGCAAGAAAGTACATAAAATGGTAAACAGATCTCAAAAGAACCATGTTCAAGGTTTGGAAGCAAACGTAAAGTAGATATCAAGATATGAGCAGTGGTTAGTGACAGAAATTATGATGAAGTTACGAAGGAAACTGAAAAAAGATGAAGTGGTTAGACAGACCAACTTTACGAAGATAGTGCGGAGGATATCAACAGGCCTGAGGATGAAGTGGCAACGGTTGATAATTTCTTATTAATTGATTTAGCAAAATGATCAGCTGTCAAATGCTATAATTTAACTGCTCAACAACATTAATGAGAAGTTAGGACTGAAAGGCTTTTACTTCAGAAACTTAAACCTTAGCCACTGTTATCTGTTTTAGCCTTTTATTACCAAGTGGTGAAGCTTGAACATGCATTGCCAGTAGCTGGTCAAAACAGATGTCAGTTTTCTATGCTAGTAATTAAAAGACTTCCATATTCAAAGACGCCAGATTAATCAGACAATACATAAATTTTGACTAGGTACCATCGTTAGTCAGGTCAATGGGGGTAATTTAAGACTCGAGTAGATACTGCTGAAGATAACTTGGGTTGAATCACACGCTTATACAAATAACTTGCGTTCAAATATTTCATATTTTACCATCCTGTGCTTTATGCATCTTGTATCCTTTTGTTGTGCTCATCTTTTTTTCGCTGTAGTTTATCTTCTTTTGTATCAGTATCTAGATTTATTCAGTGACACTTTTGTTGATCCCCCTTAGCTACGCTGACGTGATGTGGCAATGTACAATGATACACATTCATACCAAGCTCTACAACTTTGTGCATCTGCGTCTATCCTCGTTGACCGGAAAGAATTCAGATAGATAGAATCTAGGTATCTGTAATTAAAATATAGATAAATTCTGATAGTGCTTATTGTCAGCAATCATCACGGACTGATTTCGGTTGGTGAGCCACTGACAGAAGTAGGAAACTGTGGACCACTGAACTCTGACCAAGGAACCAAATGGCTAAGACGTTCGCCGTGGCACTTGAGTCCGATCCCCAGGGGTTATGGGTGCGCAATCCTGTGGAGTCCCACACTAGGACGAAACACCTATCCAATGCCTCTGGGTTCGCAGTAAATCTCCAACTAAAGCCGGATAAATGCATGACATGAGTGCTGATTTGTTCACGCATCTCATCGATTTTTGTCTAAATATACAGAGTATTAACTTCTGGAAGACCTGTTCATACATGGAAGTACACATCTGAAAGCAGCAAGCTAGTAGGGATTAAATACTACCAAGTTCAGTTGAATTTTCGTTTATCAAGAAAATACATTGCTTAAAGAAACCTCTTCATTTTTCTAAATGACCACTGAAATAAATGGTCATTTTCCAATGAAATTTACTACTGATATTTTAAACATTTCAAAGTTATGACCTTTTTAGACTTTAGGATTGCAATATTTTCCACTTAGCGCTTGTCAGTACGCTTTCTCTACATGTAACAGGAATATTTTATAATTTCAAATGTAAGCGTAAACCGGTTTGCTAGATTAAGTAAAAAACTATAAATACTTATTCTTTAAAAAAATTCATGTGTTTCTATTACAACTACTAGCTTTTATAGGTGATTCTTTAAGCTGAACTTATGGAATATTCGAAAACCTCTTCACTCAATACTACTTACCATTTGTATAACACTTGGCTTTTACCGTCATTTAAACACAAACATCTTGTATGATTTCTACAAAGAAGCAAAAGTTGTAGACTCGTAGCTACTAGAAGAACACCGGTTACCAGTAACAATACGGTAAGGTTTCAGGTTGTTTTGCTGTGTTCACAACTGATGAAATAAAAGAAAGTCAATAACTAGATTCTATGATGAATTTCCATCCGAAACCTAGTCATCATTGTATAAACAATGAAGTCTCATTCTATTAACATGTCTAAATTCAAAAAGGAGAGTTTTGTTGATGAGATCGGTTAAATATAATTCGTGGATTACCTTCGATTATTCCAACTGTGTAAAATCTAAATTTGAGTTGAACAAGAATAAAGTTTAAATATTTTAGTTTCATGTAATGCCTTTAAAAAATGAAAGGCAGCACAGCATTTAAAATTTGTAAAGCATAATTACTAGCGATAAATATGGTTTTTTCTTAGTGTGGTGCAACTTACTTTGATGCCTGAATTTCTATGAGCTTTCAGAACCTATATTTCCTTTGTAGCTAATTTCGCTAATTTATAAAAGAATTTTCGGCAATAACCTTTATTCAACTGTCAAGTACGGCTTTGTACCGATTTGTTTTAGGTAACTAAATGGATTGTGTTTCAACTATGACCACAAGTCATATCAAGTAGGTAAATCTTAGTAGGATTGCACAGAAGAAGCTGAAAAGAGCTTTATTTTGTCATTCATTTAAGGAAGAGAGTGAATACACTCTGACATCCAGTATTTATCCGCCTGATTGTAAGAGTTAATTTAAAATTTACCAGAAAATTTTCTGTTTTTACATCATATATCGGTTATCCTAGATTATGTGTGATGCTTCAGTAGTCTGTTGAAATAATATCAGAAAAATTAAGACGCTTATGAAAGACTACAATAATTTTTAGTTTCGTTGTGAGGTCTATACTGGCTAGATGGTGAGCGAAGAAGGGATTACTTACTTCATTTTCTTAGCCAACAACATATATCTGACACCTCTGTGCTTGAGTTTTCACTAACTAGCAGGTAACGTTGCTTACCTGAGAGTATTTCAGTGATGACAATGATTTTACTACATTTTGCGTAAGCAGCTCAAATAAGTGGAAAAGAGATTTCTTTTTAAATTAAACAAAACTCTACAATTCTCATTGGGCAGGTGATTTCGTAAATGTTTGTTGCTGTTGTAGTATACGTTAATAGTTACTGTTGCAATTTCTCTTCAGTTTTTTCTCCTTAAGCTTCAGTGAGTTAACGATTGTAATGATATGACTAGAAGAATTAGTAGTTAGTTTCTTTTTGGAGAAGGATAAAGACTAGAGGAAACTACTTGTTTTTCGAGAACAAATAGTAATAAGGAAGTGTACCCCTATGAAAAATGACTTGATGTAGTTCACTTATATTATTTAGCACCTCACTTTGTCAATCGAATCAAATTTCATAAACCAGTCACTTAAGGACAAAGTAATCAGGTGGACTGCTCATGTTTGCTGATAGCATAGGCGCAACTGTCTTATGATAGGGAAAAATTGATTTAACAGGCCCAAGTTGGACGCAGCAGCAGTAGGCTATTTTGCGTTAGTTTGGTTTTAACTGTCTTATAAAAACTCGTGCTTGTCTGACATAGACGAGTGAACTTCCAAAGAGATTTTGCTGACTTCAAATTTTGATGACCAAGCCACAAGAAACAACAATGTAGACTGGAGGTTTTGTCAATTAAATCGCAGGTTGACCGTCTAAACTAAAATATGCAGTAAAAACGAAACATTTGAATTAATAGTTTTATTATTTATCATCATTGTTATTACTATATATAATTATATATATTATTTCTTTTATAGGCGTTTCCAATCATTGGAAATACAGTTGACAATATGAATTGCATACTTTCTTTGTTGTCATCAATCTTTAGATAAGATACAATAGTGTCTGTGAATATAGGCAAAATAGACTAAAATGGGTCATTAATTCGATTGGAGTTGGTGTTTTTTGAGTTAGTATGGAAAGAATGGGAAGAAAAACAGAAAAGTATCTATGAGTTGTATGAAAAAGAAAACTGAAACTAAATTACTTTATGTAAATTAACTGATTTACTCCAAATGACAGTAAAACTTGTAGCCCAAGATCTTTTTAGACGGCGTTACCTCTGTGATGTTTAGTTATTCAGGTTGTATAGAGAAATATTACACACGAGTTAAGCTCAAGTATTATTTCAACGTATCCTGACCAACAACACTGAATAGTTTGAAAAAACTTGGGCACCCAATTAGTATGATTCATCGTATATACATTATTCGATGAACTCATCCATTATTCTTGTACTATTCTGAATGAAAGTGATGACAAACAGATCTATTTCTGAGTTCAATTCCATGTACACAATTTATTCAGGAAATATATCACAAGAAGTACGCTGAATAATTTCATATATTGTTTATTTTTGCATGCGAAATATGCGCCTAAACAACATGGGTAGTAAGATACCACTGACGCTGATCTGCAGATTTCGCTAACCTGATCACAGTGATCTAAACACCCGATGGCCACTTCGCTCGTGTTGGACCGACTTCATTAGCAGTCCACGACACCACAGCCGTTGGGTGTTTAAATCATTGTGATCTGATTGGCTGGCGAAATCTACGGATCGGTCTGAGTGATGGATAAAGTTTACTAGTTGTATTTAATACTTGCTTGTAATGCATTCACGTTTCACCTTTTACTTTACTGCTGTATTACTAGAAATCAGTTTGCAAATGTACGCTAAAGAATTTAATTAGCTAGGTTGTTTATAACTAAGCAGTTTGCGCAGAGAGACTTTACACCGTGAACTGAAGTTGATGTCGAAACTTTCCTGGTTTTAAGCTCCTTTATAGTACACATCATCATTTACACCATACAAGACTGAGACCAGGACATTCAGGTTTCATGGCAAGCAGGTTAATTTTTAGTTACTCGGATTAAATCCAGTGATTAACATTTTACAGTTCCCTATCGCTATCAGAGATTTCTCCCAATTTTTGACTTAGTGAATGTCCCGTTATAACTCTAGGAAATATACCTCAAAGTCACTTATTAATAATTGTTGAGTAGTTTAATTGAGCCAGTAATACGAAAGTGGTTAATCTGAAGTTAGTTTTCATCATGCAGTAAAGGATTAAGCATTTCATACCTGATGTCAGTGTCTTTGAAATGAATGAGTAGTCCAAGAGTAGGGTGCAACTGCTGTATACTACTTTTTTCAGTAGTTCACTGAATGACATCAGGTCATAGTGAAAACCCTCCTCAAAAATATTTCTTTCAAATGCTAACATTCCAGTATTTTATTTGACGTGTTTTACGTAATTTCACCCTACAAACTAATCCTATATTTGGTAAGATGTGTTGTTAGAATACTGCACCAGATAGGACCTTCAAATGATACAAATAATCCTGTGGTTACAATAAACATCCTGAAGTATGATTCTCCGCCAAATGCTGACATTTATTTCAACTCACTTATGCCTACAGCAAATTAATTCAGTTTTCAGATTCTTGGATTTGGTTTTAACATGACGAGACAAACGTCCATTAACTAAATAAAAAGGTTGAGTGCTAAATTATGATCACTACTAAACTAAACTTTTGTGTTACACAAGACTTTATTTCGAGTATCTTCAGTAACCAGGACAATATTGATGGTGCTGCAATTTCAACTCAGACGACTCAACATCATCAAGATTGTCTACTTGAGAAACAAATATTCACCACTGTCTGAACTGGTACAAGCATTTATCACTGTAGTCAGCAGATCACAAAGCTATTCAAGAACTTTGGATTGGACAGAAAAATATTAGTTTGCAACTAGAGAAAAATCAGTGTAATTACTTTAGTTCTGCAATATATCAATGATGGCCTTAATAGTTAACTCCAGCACTTTGGTGATATTTTACATGGGGTTTAGTCTCACAAACACTATTTTTTCTCTCAAGGTTTCGAATACAGATTACTAGCGAGTGCCAACAAGTACTAAACTAACACTAACTGCTTCTTACAAACCTCTTACAACTAGTCAATATCATGCATTTGTTTCAGTTTGTTGATTCCGATTCACAGGTGAAAGAGCTTATAAAAAATGGTTTCATTTGAAGCAGTGTCACACACCGTTTAGGATGAAATCTTGCCGCACTGAAAAAAAGCCTACTGCTGGGATCAAAACACAGCAATAGCATATTCGAAACCTGATGATAAGTGTTAGTTGTAATTTTGTTCAACTTCACTTAAGACTTGCTATTTTCACCTTCTTGTCATGCCTGAGGTAATTAAGATATTTAGGAATACATTAACGGTAAATGAATGAAAAAGAAGAAAGTTGGATTCACAGGTCTCTAGTTACAAACCGATTAAGACAACCTTTTGATTGGTCAATGAAGATTAGTAAATGACAGTTTTTAGCTGCTATTGGACATTGGCCGTTATTCATCTTTTACGACTACCAGTAGATAATATGTATAAAGGAATATAACTAAGAATACTAAGTTGGATCTTTCGACCTTATTTAGTATTTCAAGAAGCGTTTAGTGTTAGCATTGATGGACCCTTAGGAGTGAACTAATTGTAGACTCTGATAGACAGTTCCAAAATTTTGGTAGTGTTATGTTCTCTGAGCTGGATGATTTAATCGTGAAGCTTACAGTGTCAGTCTAGTAAACATCATCAGCGCAAACTTCTTTCTGAAATTTGTGCTAATGGCTTTGACTAAAATGGCGATAAAAGCTTTACAATTAAACTATCCAACTCAGAAAGCACCACAGCAACAAATTCATCCTAATGAGCTGTAATATTCTTCATCATCTCAAGTTCCAAAATTGTACACCATACAGGAATGCATATGCAAACATCATATCTTTTAGCTATTAAGATATTGGAAACCAGAGATATACATGTATACATATGATATATGTATTAAGTAGACGTACCACAAAGTGGGCTACTGTCAATCCACAGTTTGTATGTTTACCAGCTAGATATTTAACCTTTTGCTGTAGATTCTCTTCATCATTGAAATTTTCCACAATATCAATTATACTGTCCACATAACGTATAGCCATAGTGATAAGGTAATCTGAATTCAATGCTTGAGGTAGAGTCACGGATTGAATCGGCTTATACATTTTCATAAAATGAGGGTTTTTAATCAAAAGTCTATAAAAATAAATAAAAATGTACATTTTATAATGAAAGGCAGATATGAGAGGAACTGTGTTACAAGCATAACTTTAAGTTCAGCATTATCTAGGTGATAAAACAGGAAATTTCAAAATACTTCTTGAAGTCAGAATATCGTGAGGGCTTTTAGGGAGACAAACGCAGTAATTAAAATGTATCGAATGTCTCCTTTTTTCTCTTCTAATAGGTTCCATGTGTAGATCCAGATGACACATGTATGGACTGAATCAAGGTTACTTAGACCATATGTTGATAACATTACTCTCTGAAGCACTTGGTTTTTGTAGAAAAAAACCTTCAAATCTAGTTTGATGGTGTTAAGGATGTCTGTAAACCATTATCTGTTCTCTGCATAGCCTAAATAGCCTTCCTTGAGTTAGTCACATTATAGTCCATCCTCAAGTAACATTTCAGACATGACTGAGGCAGCTGTCTAACATTCTGTTTTTTAGGTGCATTTTGAAACGTAGAGATGATGAAAACCATAACAGAAATAATTCATAAGAATTATTTCTTCGCAGCCAGATTATAGACTTAGTCCCATCTACAGGGAAAAAATATGCTTCGCATTACTCAATTACGAATTTGTTTTATTTTAGCTGGACGCAAAACCCAACTTTCATTTACTCTCAGTAATCTCAACTTTAATAAATCACTAAATGTTATGTGGTAATTAGTTATAAATGACTTGTAGGTAGACATCCGATGCTAATAGTAAAGATCCAGCATGCTTTACTGAACCGATTTTTATTTTAGCATACATTAACTAGATGGATGAGTTCTGATACAACCAGAAAGTTATCCTTACATTTATCTGCATGACAAAAAGAAGAATACAGTAGAGAACGAATTTCGAGCTTGGCTTCAGCACAACCTACGAAGCAAAGAAAGGTATAAGCAAATATTCTTTTTCTTGGTTAAAATTTAAAACTTCTTAAAAAGTTGTTTCATTTAGAGTCACAATAATAGTTTTCAGCATTTTCATCATAGTTCTTGTCATTTCAAACCTGAAAATGATGTAGTATGGAATTATGTTAATTCTGGCTTCCCATCGACTTAAACTTCATCAGATCAGATTTGCTTCGGTTCTGCTGCAGATGAAGACCCGGATACGAAAATGGATAGAAATCTTGCGAATAATTTCTTATGTGCGTAAAACATTCTTCCTTTTCAGAAAAAAGCAAGGTGATGACATCTATAGTTGTCTTTTTACCGGAAAAAAATCATCTTGATTACCTGTGATTGGAAGGAATGTTCTTCGTATAGTTAAAATGAGCTGCATAGGACCAATAAAATTCCCTGCATAAAACTGTTCAGTTATCTATTGTAAATAAATTTAAGTTTGATATTTGCTCCAATGTTTCCATCGGCCACTATGGAAGTAGTTTCCAAAGTGAGGAAACAGTAGACAACAGTAATTTGACCTAGTCTCTAAGATATTGGTAACCGAATGGGCGAAATGGGATAAGAGAAATGTTGTCATATTTGCATGGCATCTGTTTATGGTGTTGTAGATGATATTTGCATAAACTCCAGTCTTTCTGATCAGATACGTTACCTTTTCGTGTTTGGCAGTTGAGCTAGGCAAAATTAACAATAAGATTTGTGGTGAGGAGCACTAACAGATACACTACTCATATCCCTATATGATTTACTATTTCTCTCCTTTAAGAAATGAAGCATGATTGCTAGCAAGCTTTTTCTCTATGTAATCACTTCAACAAAACCCGACCGATAGCTGCTACCTTGACGCGGTGGTCGGGCTTGCATATCACAATGACCCAACGAGCAATGCTGGTGGAACGCTTGTTCCCTCGAGGTCCTACCATACCAGAAAGGTCTGTTGGATAGTGGTTAGACGAAAAGCAGTTACCGTTATAGTGTAAATTGCTACACTATGATGGGGGTCTGAGGGCGAAGTTGTACTGCTGCTAGCTGGATGAAGTGTGACAGCAGTAAGGTGTTTCCATTGGATGACCAGCAGTGCCATGCTGATGCTGCCTTCTCAGTGGAAGCGGGTGGGGGGCGGGGGGTTAAAAAAGGTCGGCCCCAAAAATATAAAAGTTCAAAATAATCATACTCAAAAGGCTGGGTGTGACAGGCCTCAAGCAGATGTCCGATGGGCTCTGCGGTCACACAAATCTCTTTCAGGTACCTTAAGAAGAAATAGCCTTCCACGGTGTGGGCAGCCGGGAAGTGTCAACCGCCCTCACAACTCTGTCAGCACCCAAGTTTCTTCTGACTGCTATCCTCCTCCTCCATCATTACCTTCTAATCTTCCTTCACGTCTCTTAATTAATGATGCTGCATCATCTTCAATTTCTCCTACCTCTGCAGCCTTCGACAACGATCTGAGTCCACAGAACAGCATCCCTGGTCTCCTTAAACCACGCTCCAAATTACATATTGGAGCCTTCAATGTCCGCACCCTCCGTCAAATTGGCCAACAGGCTTCGTTGGCAAAGACTCTAGCAACTCGGGCATGGATGTGTGCTGTGTTTGTGAGACACGCATACAGGACCCAAGTGTGGTTATTCACCTGACCTCTCCTGACCAATCTGGTGAATCTGCAAAATTCACCCTTCGAGTTTCTGGAGATTCGATAGCTAGCTCTCGTGGTCTTGCAGGTGTAGGTATAGCATTAAGCACCAGGGCAGAAAACTCACTACTAGACTGGATCCCAGTTGATAGTCGCCTCTGCGCTATGAGGCTGAACGGCACAGTGAGAACTAAAAGGAATAGTGAGACTCGCCGTTGTCTCTTTGTAATCTCTGCTTACGCACCCACTGACTGTAGTTCGGATGAAGTGAAGGACGAGTTCTACCATAAACTGTCTAACCTCCTCTCGAAAGCCAAACGTTCGGACGTAGTGGTTGTTGCAGGTGACCTCAACGCACAGGTGGGTAGACTGAGTGAGGCAGAAAGGCACTTAGGTGGCACTTTCGGAATCCCAGCTGAACGTACAGATAACGGTGATCGCCTATTACAACTATGCTCAGATAACCGCCTATTTTTAGCCAGCACAAATTTCAGACATAAAGAAAGGCACTGTCTGACCTGGCGTCCACCGAGCTCGACTCAGCGATGGACACAGATAGACCACATTGCTATTAGTCATCGCTGGAGAGGATCGGTGGAAGACTGCCGCTCCTTCTGGAGTACGTGTTTGGACAGCGATCATGCGTTGGTCCGAGCACGTATATGCCTGCGTCTCAATGGACGTAGAAAAAATTTGGCAACAAAACCACTACGAGTTCTGCTGGACAACGAAAACACCAAAGCCGTGTTCAGTGAGAAGTTGGCTAGGCAGTTATCGGAACAAAAACTGTCACTCATCCAGAAGAAGCTTGGTGCCATCTTCAGTCTACTGTAAAAGCAGCACTGGAGACTGTAGCCGACTCCAAGATAATGGCTAAAAAGAGCCAGTGGATATCAGCAGCTTCTTCCAAACTAATGGATGCACGTGAATGCATCCCTGCAGGCTCTGAGTACAATGAAGAGCGAGCGCAACTTAAAAATAACTGACGAAAAGTCTGCGCAACGATCGTGAACAGTGGTGGGCAGCAAAGGCTAAAGAGATGGAAAAGGCAGCGGCGATCGGTAACAGTAGACAGGAGACTGGGGGGAAATGGTCAACAACAGTTAGTGAGGTTATAGCGGAGAAGGACGGATCTGCGATTCACTCGCAGGGAAGGCGACTGGGACGATGGGCAGAACACTTTGAGGAACAGTTTAACTGGCCTCCAGCCACCATTGCGCTGCCCGCTATCCAGTCGGACCCTGAATGGGACATAGAGACAGGTCCCCCAACACTAGAAGAAGTTGAGAAAGCGGTAGGTAGCCTGAAACGGGAAGGGCAGCAGGACCAGACGGACTACCTGCTGAGGTATACAAGAATGGTGGTAGAGTTCTCTTAGTCAGGCTAACGGAAGTGTTAGCCAGTATATGGGAATCAAATACGATCCCCTCCGACTGGTCTAAGTCACTCATCATCCCAGTCTTCAAGAAAGGCGAGAAGTCCTCTTGTGATAACCACAGAGGAATCAGCCTGACAAACATAGTGTCTAAGATCCTAAGTTCTATAATTCTCCGACGCCTGAGTGGAGCTCGGGAACAGCAAGCCCGAGAAAACCAGGCAGGCTTTAGACCTGGCCGTGGATGTATCGACCAAATATTCACACTGCGCCAGGTCCTGGAACATAGGCATGCTTACAGACGCCCGACAATAGCTGTATTTCTCGACCTGAAGGCGGCATTTGACTCCGTTGATCGAGAAGTCTTATGGCAGTGTCTGTCACTGAAAGGCGTGCCTAGTAAGTACATCACCTTATTGAAAGCTCTCTACTCGAACACTTGTGGGCATGTTAGAGCCTATGGTGAGTTGTCCAGGGAGCTATACTCATCAAGTGGTGTCCGTCAAGGATGCCCACTATCCCCATTCTTATTTAATTTTATCATAGATATTCTTATGGAGGTTTCCCTCTCGTCACCTAATTACACAGACGTTGACCCGATCACAGGTGAATTTTCCTTAGATCTAGAATATGCAGATGACATAGTCCTGTTAGGTGAAGACGCTGACAAGATGCAGAGTCTTCTGAACACTTTGAGTGGGAATTTGAGAATGTTTGGGATGCGATTTTCACCACCCAAATGCAAATTTTTGCTCCAGGACTGGTCTTCAGCGGTACCGCGGTTAACAATAGAGAGTGAAGTGGTTGAGTGTGTTGACCACTTCACTTACCTGGGAAGTAGGATCAACCCTGGTGGGTTAGTTGCCGATGAGATTTCTGCACGGATACAAAAGGCTCGATTGGCTTTTGCCAATTTGCGCCACCTATGGCGCCGCCGTGATATTCGTTTGTCTATTAAGGGTCGCGTGTACTGCACAGCAGTCCGCTCTGTTCTACTGTATGGCTGTGAAACATGGCCATTGAAAGTGGAA